CGGTCTATCTCCTAAAAGATAGACGCGAAACTTAGCCAGTGCATACTTCATGGCAAGGAGTTCCTTGTCATGCACCGGATAATTGCGCTCGGCCGGTTGCAGCTGACGCGATTGATAACAGACGAAACGCTCTGCGCCGTCTGTATCATATTGCATCAGTGCGCAGCCGATTGCAAAATCACTTGCGTCACAGACCACATGAAATGGTCTATCTTGATCGGCAATCGCCAATACTGGCGATTGCATCAAGCTTTGCTTGATGCGTTCAAAGGAACGCTGACAGTCAGCGTTCCAATTCCACTTTACATTTTTCTTGAGTAAACAAGAAAGATGTACTGTCATTTCGGCGTAATTGCGCGAGTACTTGTGCAAGTACGCCGCTAGCCCAAGGAACTTCCTTAGCCCCTTGACATCGACTGGCACTGGCCATTCGGTGATCGCCTTGATCTTCTCTGGATCAGGGCGTACGCCGTTCTTGCCGACGATGCACCGAAGAAGTGGTATTTCGCTAGCTACGAATATACACTTCTTGAGGTTGGCGTACAACTTATGCTCGCACATAAGTGTAAAAACCTTACGGACGTGGAGTCTATGGACTTCCACGTCTGTTTTCCCGTCCATAGCTCGACTATGGACGAACACAAAATCGAAGTAACTTGGTGCGAATTCGCGCACCGGTCTCAATAGATGTGAAACACATCTATTGAATGTGGCTGGTGCATTACTGAGCCCTTGCGGCATCACCAACCATTCCCAGATCATACCACTGGGAGTGCTCACTGCTGTGTACGGGATGTCCCGTTCACGCATTAGGATCTGATAGAAACCATCCATCAAATCCATGGACGAAAAGATGGTACTATTAGACATACCATCTATGATTAGGTCCTTTCTCAATATCGGCGTTTGTGCCAGTATCGTTGCAGCGTTCAACTTGTTGAACGCGTGTACTATCCTCCACCCTCCTGTGGCCTTGCGCACACAGAAGGTCGGAGAGCTGTGAGGTGAAGTTGACTCCCTCACATGGCCCGCTGATAGGCGATCGGCAAAGAACTTGTCGATCGCCTCGACCTGTTCCCGAGGCAGGGGTCACTGCTTCATGACACATTATTTTGTGCCAGAACAAGGTCGATTTCGTGTCGAGTACCTTTATCCTTAGGCAACTCGCACGGAACGGATTCAGGGAATACATCCTTGAATTCGGCCAAATCCTTGTACAAAGGATTTGACTTCAGCGACTCCCAGGATTGCGATGTATATCTCTCAATCCGAGTCTTCTCATCAAGGACACTCTCGTCCATTGATGAGCTGCTGAGAACCCGTTCGTTCTCGGCAAAAAATGTTGCTGACCGAATTTCAGTCATGTACTCGTCCTCTGCGACGAGCACACAGATCTGCTTGGCTTTGCCACTACTCAGACCACGCAAGAACCTTTTAGGTTCTAGCGTAGGCAACTGAGTTATCTCCGAAGTTAACTTCGGAGGCGCGATCATATCAAGCGTATAAGCGCCTACGTTTGACCCGTCATTAACCAAGACGTTCAACGTCTCGGTTACTTCCTGGGGACTTATCTTCTCAGGGCACTGGGGACTTATTCCCTCAGTGATTATTTCCTGGGGAGTTATTCCCGCAGGCTCGATGGAACTTGTTCCATCGACTTCCTCTAGCTGTGGTGGCGCAACCACAGCGAGATCCTCTACGATCAACTCTCCAGTTGATCTAGGATTACCGTGTTGCCGCTTCTGGGCAACCGGTTTACTCTTCGGTGAATGCTGCCCTCTAGGCGAGCATTCATGTCCCAGTCCACTCGACTTATTCGAGTGGTGGACCTTCGGCGCTGCCTGTGCTTGTGCACAGCCACCGGCAGCTTGCTCCACAGCGTGATTGTCTGTCACGCTGAGCTCTTGTGCAGTCGTACTAACGACCGAACCACAAGTGAGGCCATCGCACTCACTCGTAGTACATTCACACGTTTGTGAACGCTCCAAGACGTTCATCAGATGGCCATCTGATGAACAAGCGGCAGGCATCTTCACGGTTTGATGCTGCCAGCTGACCCATGGCTCGTACCTTCTGAGCCATGGTAATCCTAGGATGACATCAAATTTGTCATCCAGGTCAAGTACGATGAAATCATCATCGTACTTTTTGCCTTCAAGCGTGTAGTGAATTCCCACTACACGTTTCTTTACGGATACGCCAGTTGCAAGGCGCACCATCATCCTCGTTGAAGTGGTCTCGCGCTCAACATATATGAGCCTACGATCATCTAGCGATTGGCGTCGAACAAAGTTGTTTGACGCCTCCTAATCAACTAGGGCGCGAAGTGACATGTTCTTTGTCACTTCGATCTTCAATGTGATGAGGGATACCTCATCACTGGGAACGGCAACACACAGTGACTGTGTGTTGGGAGCAACCTTCGTCAAGAGTCCCGCGAACTCTCTTGACGTTGCTGGATCAGTAGGGCGCTCCGCCCCTACTGACCCCGACCGTTTTTTGATGGTCCACCACGTTGTTGCGATTTCGCAGCAACGTGGGACCCACGTCTCTGTCCCTTCTTGGCAGACGGTCGATCGTCACTCCCAGTGTTACGAGACACTGGTCGTGGGGCACTACACTCATAAGCGTAGTGGCCCAACTTCTGACAGCGATTGCACTTTTGCAATCGCTTGTACCCTGGAGAGCGAGGTCGCTCGCTCTCTACATAGAAGAGGTCCATTGGTTCTGGACCTCCGCCCTCCTGTCGTCTCGGTGGACGATAGGACCCCGAGTGGACGTGAGCCTGTTGCAGGCTAAAGTCCTCCTGTTCCGCTGCAGAGATCGCTTGGTCCAGCAATTCTAGTTCCTAGCGGAACAGGTGGGTCTTGACAGGACCATCTGTCAGACCCTTGATGAACACAGTAACCTGCGTGTGTTTCTCGATTGGGTTCAGTACGATACAGCTAACGAGGTATCGTACGTGTTGGGCGTAAGCAGCGTGTATATCACGCTTACCCTGTTTCAAATCCAGGAGCTCAGCCCGAGCCCTGAATTCGGCGCGAGGCGGTTCAAACGTGTTTTTGAGCCGCGCCTTGAAGACGTCATACGTTGGGAAAACGTATGGGTCGTGCAGTTTGAGCCCTAAGGCCCAAGCTTTGGCACGTCCTCCCAAGTTCGACATGGCGAACTTGACCATCATCGCATCGTCATCGATGCGACAAGCCTCAATGGCATCGTCGAGCTCGACGAAACCTCTCAACAAGGAGTCGCTTTCGACTGCCTTGTACTTGGAGACATCAATCTTCAAGGACTCGGGTCGACGTGTATACGTCGACCCGGCAGCAACAGCACTAGCCTGCTGTTGTCTCAACAGTTCAGACTGTTGAGCACCCTGCTGCATCAACAAGTCAGCTTGTTGAGCGCCTTGTTCTCTCAACAGTTCAACCTGTTGAGAACCTTGCTTCTCTAGCAAGGTGAGTTTCTTTACAACTTCGTCAAGTTCATGTTGTATGAACTTGGCGATGGTTGCATGTTGGTCGTCTCCGCTAAGAGAGAGCAACATGGCACCAACGGAAGGGTTGCCGATGGTTTCAGCCATACGATGAACCGCATTCCATTCGAGGTCACTCAAATGGTGGAAATCATCACGCGTTGCGTGATGACGTTCATCACCCGCTGATTTCATAGCGGGTGGTGCGGTGGTCGCTGAACGGACCACGAAGTGCTACCAGGTGTAATCGGGAACCCTCCGACTATACTGATTACAGTATAGTCTACTTTCACATATTACAGTGAAAGCAGGTGCCTCAATTACCTCTCTTACACAAGAGGCAGAGGAAGCTTTACTTCAAAACAAACGCTTAGAAGTAGAGGAAAAGAAAAACTGTATTTAATATAGTTAACTATCTTTATAAAAAAAACTAATCTGTTATAACCTATGTTAACTATATTAGACTAACAACTATGTATGTTGACAACTTGCCCTCCACTCATTGCGCGCGTCCATCGGTCATTGGTCAGCGCGTTGGTTGATATGATGGCCCATATCAACCAATGAGAGGGCATCTCCAACTTCAAGGAGATCTAGGAACAATATTATAAGAAAAGGTAATATTGTCAAAATATTATTTGTTATAATAATATTTTATTGACACTTCATATAAGTGTCTATATTATGTAACGGGCTCACCCCGTTACAAGGGTCGCATCAGGCGTAGCTACACACATACTAATGACCTCCCCGTTAAGTACTACGTAACAAAGCTAACGTGTGTACATATGTTTCTAGCTACCTTCTATACCCTAATGATTACTAGCGCAGGTGATGCTGTCCGCTTAAAAAGCCCGGGGGGGGGAAACAGGGGGGGGGGGGCCCGGGGGGGGGGTTTAGAAAAGAAAAAACAAAAAACCCCCCCCCCCCCCCCCACCAAAAGGGTTGGGTAAGAGGGGGGGGGGGGGGCCCCCGACAAAAAACCCAAAAAAAGGGGCCCCCCCCCCGGGGGGGGGGGGGGCTCTAAACAGTATTGGCTACATCATTTTACGCTTGAGCGTCCTCCATCTTAGTAGTAACATACCGTCTATTTTAAACATTAAGGATTGGTAAGATGTATGGAGTGCTTCTACCAGGACTTCGTCATTTTTCGCCTCGCTGGCTCATCCTGCTGGCTCGAGATGTCGGGCGTCACGGGGGACACTCCGAAAAGGGCACGTGGAATCGGTTATCCAGCCCGAGGTGTAAACAGTGGCTCAATGATCGCAAAAAGCGCCGGGCACCAGACTGATCAGTCCCGATCGACATCTGGTGCACCTGGACGGGGTCAATCAATTCACGTTCTTGGCAAGTTCGCTTAATGGGACCGGGATTCGCGCTCGGCGATCGAGTCGGCGGCGATAGAGGGAGAGACTTGTCAAGTTTTCCTGGAGTGCGTTCCCCCAACGTGCACAGGAATTGTCTCAATATCGGACCAGTATTGCACGGATAGAACCGGTACATGTTATTGATCCGATCTCAAGATTGTATGCTCTGGAATGCTGGGCACAACACGTGCCGAAAGAGTTTTCATTCTCCAAAAAGCTTTCCAGACAACAAGCTTTCAAGACGACAGTAACGATGAAGCTATACTATGCCATCTCACTGATGGCAGTGTTTGCTCAAGCCTCAGCTGCTCGACGTCCATCGTTTCACAGCGATCTAAGTGAATGGAAGGCCTGCTCTGACTTCGACTCGACATCAAGCGCAAACCCCACAAACACAAAGGCTGAATGCGCTGTCTACATTGCGCCGCTTTGTTATCGTGGAATTTGTAAGGCACCAAAGCACGTAAAACCAACAATCGACGTTTTCGTAAAGCGCATCCCTGCTGTACGCAACTCAAAGAGTGCATCGAATCTCTGAGTGCTGTCTGGCGTTGACAGCGCTTCATCTGCTGACAGTAAGGCATTTTTTTTGTTTTGCTAACATAGTCTCTATATCTACTAACCACTTTATGCAGCGGAATTTTTTCTATCAGAGATACATTCACAATTGAGTGGGAAGGTGAATGTCTATGCGATGGACCAACGTGGAATCGGTCGCAGTACAATGCTAAATTGCGTCGACATGCCTTTGACTTCCACCTATGTATCGTCGGGCAGCAGCTTTAATGTATCGCAAGTCCCTGTGTGCGCTCATGCTTTGGAAAAGAAATACGGATCCCTTTCTTCATTTTCGATCACGAGCGCTGCAAAGGATGTTGCAACTTTTATATCTGACTTCTCGAATGGTATGAATACTATTGTGAGCGGCATGAGCTATGGTACCATCGTTGCAGAACGATTAATTCATCTCAACCCCCGTGAAGTGACGGGGTACTTTCTGGATAGTATATTCACGACTTCTGGAGCACCTCAAGACAAGACCTTGTACACTTCAGCTTGGGACACGAATTATGGAAAGGTGGGTGATGCTTTCATGGCTCTATGTAAAACGGATAGCAAGTGCAGCAAGCATTTTGTGCGAAACAGTCTGCAAGCTACGCTTCAAGATTTGATCACAAAATTTGATGAAAATCCAAAGTCAAAATGTGGTGCTCTTATGAGCAAATTGTAGTGACCAGAGTAGCGATCCAGCTTCTTATGTTTTGCGTCAGACTTTGGGAAATTTGCTCTTAGACGCTAATCTGCGCACGCTAATTTCCCCTCTGGTATATAGACTGAATCGTTGCGAGGCCAAGGATATCGACGTGTTGAAACATGTCTTCAAGCTTATTAAAGAAACTAATGTTCAACTGAAGGACGGTGACGCGTCCTTTATTTTTCTTTACTACATCGTCAGGTTTTCTGAGATGTGGGAAAGACCGACGCCGTCTATCAAAGAAATGAAGATGCGGTACACGAATGCGCGAATGACGAACAATCGCGACGGGGGTCGTTATGATGTGCCGCTCTACTGTGCTTTTTCGAAAGAAGAATCAGCGGTGTGCGACAAACTTGATGTCGGAAACTACGTTGGCAATGGCCTTGTCTACGCGGCTGACAGGTATTGGAATACAAGTGCTAAGATTCCTCCTCAAGCTAGTGTTCTTATGCTGAACAGTAAATTGGACGCGGAGGCGCCGCAAAAATTTGCTAAACATTTGCTTAAAGAACTAGACGGTGACAAGAAGGAGTTGATCACGTTTGAGTATTCCGTGAATATGGCCACAATGTTCACTCCATTAGGCCAAAGTGGTGAAACGTGCGGCATGAAGATACTGGTATCATATGTGACCAATGACGGCGATTTGGAGCGTGTTGACAAGTCTTGCGTCGATGAGATGCCCGCGTTCAGTATGACTCCACTGCTTGATTATCAGCACTACTTTCTGAGCACGAAAGATGCCTATGACGGAGTGTACGATAAAAGTCTGTATGCAAGTGTTACCGGTCCAACCTCAAGCACAAGCTCAGCAGGACAGGTGCTTCAGCTTGATGAGCACCAAAACTAACTACTTTGTTCTTTACTCAGAGACAAGTAGGCGAGAAGACGACTGCAATGCGAATGCAACGAGGAAAGCTAGTGTTTTGCTTCACACGGATAGGAATATCTGATGTTTGATAGTAGAAAAATCGTTAAATTTGCGAGATAATCTAGCATACTTACTTGATGATGCTGTCGTGAATATTTTACGTATCTTACAGATAGCAGGCGCATGAACGTAAATTCTGGCTTCTATAATTTGATTTCATAAGGTAGATCCAACTTTTACACAACAGAATTTACCAGTAGTAGAAGTTCAGTAAATCATCTTCGCTTAAGTTGTTAAGCTTCAAGTGTCTGGCGAGCGATTTAGATTGTTGTCCGAAGCGAAGTAAATGAGTGCTAATGCACGAGTCATCGAAACTATTGTGATACGCATGCTTCTTCCCGCACTGGTCGTAGTTCAACGACCTCTACCAATTTCACTGCTTTCTGTGCACGGTCGACTACAGCTGGATCATGGAACAGATCACTGCTGTTGCTGTAAAGTCGGTTGTTGTGGTGGAAGAAAAACCAAATCTGGTGCGATAGACATATCGTTTCGATGCTCGAAGGTCGCTTCAATGCAGTTCGTACCAAGTTTTATAGACCTCACCCAAAGTTGTGCGTGAGCCCATTTCTCACTTTTGCTACGCTACGCTGCTAAGACGCACAAAACGCTGTGGACAAGGAGCTCGCGTCACACGTCACAGCTTTAATGTAGAATGGTTATGTTTACACCACAAATGCCCGTCGAATCAGGAGTAATTACAAATGTTTTGTACGAAAGCTCTGTTAAAGTTGCTCACAGAAAAAGAAGCGGACAATAAAATCGCTACTGATCGGAAATAAGCAAGAGTCGCATATGACCATGACCGCTGGGATATCGGGGTCGTGACCTCAAATGCCAATTTACTTACCTCTATTAATATATTGTAATCGGCACGGTATCGAAGCTCCTCAAACAAGTCGCTTTGCGAGAAGCACGTTGGTGACCACATCTCGAAATTATTGCCTCTATGCGTGGATTAATTAACGCACAATTGCCTCTCAAGGCCTTTGCATAATCGCGCAGACTATGGTGTACCGTAGACTATTTTAGGTAATAAGGGCCATTACGAGGTGCAGTAAAAATGGTTTTTACTAACTTGCTTCGTTTACGGTGGGCACTACAATGCAAGTACCGTGACGGCCGAGATGCATGTGCAATGATACGAGTCGCTGCGCCTCGGCGCTCATCTTGCCATTCAGAATACTCATCGATCTTCGACGCTTTTTCACCACCAAATCACCTACTGAAGATGTTACTTGCGAACGCAAGTCTCCGGTATATCCGAAGCTAATAGTATGAAGTAAGAAAGAAAGAAAGAAAGAAAGAAAGAAAGAAAGAAAGAAAGAAAGAAAGAAAGAAAGAAAGAAAGAAAGAAAGAAAGAAAGAAAGAAAGAAAGAAAGAAAGAAAGAAAGAAAGAAAGAAAGAAAGAAAGAAAGAAAGAAAGAAAGAAAGAAAGAAAGAAAGAAAGAAAGGTGAGGTAAGAGTATTTGTAACAGGCATTTAGTTATACTTAAACATAAAGTAATATACTTAATGTTTGGTCTAAAAGTATCCATGATTACTTTTGACCTGTCACTTGGGTGCGATACACAAACGTGATCCACCCTCGTGAATGTGATATCCATTTATGGATTTACATGGGAAAGGATGACGCTAGTTGAAGCTAGGCATCGTGACGTCTCAGAAGGACGTCATTAGCGAGCTTAAATCTATATTTAAGTTCATGCGACAGGATACGCTTCTAAAGAGTCGCGTATCCGATCTTTATACATATGTAGCTAATCAGTAGTTTAGTTAAGTTTATATTTAATTATAATTCATCAAATATAGCTTAGTATTGAATTTGCTAAATCGAAAGCACCGCGCACGAGAAGCCGAAAAGCTTCTACGTGACGTCGGTGACTTCTTGTTAAAAAGTTCGTTGCACTCTCGCTTAAGCGAGAAGCATATGGTGGTACGACTACTTAAGCAGTCGACCAACCTCACATCCACCCTCGCACGCGAAGGTAAGACGGTCTAACCGCTTCCTCGCTTGTGCTGTAGATGTGCGCTAAGTAGCACGAGGCATTTCGTAGAAGTGCCCGTCTACACTTGGTAGCGCTAGTAGTCCTTCCCACGATCCGTCTCTTCGAGCGTGCGTGTGGTTGAGATGGTCCTCTAAATGGACTGGAGTGACTTCCCTCACCTCCCCCAACACCATAGAAAGTTGGTGAAGCATATGCGTAGAGACTTGGTGAACAAGTCCTGGCTAACCTCTTGCATTGTCCTCCTGAGCAATACGTTGCTCAGTTGAAGCAATTTGAGGCGTTTGTGTTTGGACAGCGCAGAAATGCGTCCGAGTAAACAGCCAAGCCACCGCTGAGTCCATCACTAAGACTCAGGATGAGCTTAGGCTTGAGCAGGCACGTAATGAGGCGCTCAACAGAACTGTTGAGACGCTCTCTGCCCGGCCTGCTCAACCGAGGCCCATTCGGATGGACCCTCCGAAGTTCGATGGAACTAGCCCTCACACGATTGTTCACTGGACATCTACAGTTGAGCAATGTAGAGTGGTGCAGCTCATCGAAGACGACACCAGAATGGTGTCGTATGCCATGTCCAACTTGCGTGGCAAAGCGTCAGAGTGGGCATACTCTGCGCTGATGGTAAATGCTGATGCATTCCATCATGGGCGATCTTGAAAACAAAGATTCGCGCCATGTACCAGCCACCTAACAACGAAGTGTTGCTTATGGCGAGCTTCTTTGGAGCACGACAGGCGAAACGCTCTCTGCAATAATTTGAGCAGGACATGCGTTCGCTGTCGGCGTCCATTAATGGGAAACCGATACCGGAACGAATCAAGGTGGCCACGTTCATGAATGGACTTAGGCACGACCCATCGCGTCAGGACCTTTTTAGAAAGGTGCCAGCGACGATGGAAGACATTGCCTTAGTTGAGGAGCAATCCTGCAGCAGCGCCTCGGCTACATCCTATTACATGCCGTCGTCTGAGAAGTCTGATGCCACTCCTATGGAGTTAGGCGATGCAGATGTAATCTGCTACAAGTGCGGCAAGCGAGGCCATATGATGGCTCGCTGCTATGCCAAGGTAGCTGCTGGTGCTAAGGCCGCCAGCAAAAAGGCTTCTTACTCGAAGGGACGTGCGAAAAATCAGCGTGCACGACGCACGGGTTCAGCACCTGCCCAAGATGGGTCGGGAAATGCGGGAGCGCAGTAGGGGCGGGATGCCCTACTGTCGCGGACTCTGAAGCTACCCTTTAGATCAGAGTTATCGAACAAATGGATAGCATAGTCCCTGAGGTTCCGAAAGGTCGGACCTCAAACCTTTTGGTCTATAGCGCTCGAGTACGAGGCTATGACCAAGTGATGACCCTTCTCGTGGATTCGGGTGCATCACAAAACTTTGTGAAACTCGCGGCTCTGAAAAAGAGGCCGGCGAGTTATGAGTCGCTTTGCCAGGATGGCAAGCGAGAAGAGGCGATCGTTCGTTTAGAGAACGGCGCGCTCGTTAAATCGGAGGAAGTTCAAATTGAACTCGCCTCCAGTTTCAGTGACTTCTCTTGTAAGGAGAAGTTCACAGTGCTAGGTATGGAAAGTCTGTATGACCTCATCCTAGGCATGCCTTGGTTGGCTAAACACCAACCATGGATAGACTGGCGTACACGCACAGTCGCTAGCTCTACGCAAGACACCGGAAAGGATGTGCTCTTGCGAGAGGCTTATGTGGCTGATGCTGTTTCCAACACAGTCGAGGGTGCGATGACGGTATGTCAATCAACACCAGGAACAACCCAGCTCGAAAGGAGTGGTGTAGTTGGAAGTGCACGGACAGAAAGTCAGGTGACACATATTCCTACCCAGGTCGAAAAGACTGGTGTAGTGAATGGGGCGATGACAGGTGGTCATGCATCCAATAGTCCTGCACAGAGCCGAGAGCCTGTGGCATATGATGGTGGGGTGACAGCAAGTCAAGCGCCACAAGAACCGACACAGAGTCATGAGCCTGGTGCGGTTGGAAGGAGTGCGTTGGCTAATACAGCAACGACACCTTCTCCCAAGTCAAAGGTCGTGGTGACTCGATGAACGAGCACCAGACATATTAAGACGATCAAGGGCACGTCGAAACGAGTGACCTTTGGATCGGTCCCGGCTTATGAGTACGTACCTACAAACGAGTTGTTCGAGGCAGTCGAAGGCAAGATGCCGGAGGCATCCTCAGTTGAGGTGCTCCAATTTGTCTTGGCATCTGCCGAGGAGATAGTAAATCTCTCGGAGATGACGTGGGATCTGCTCCTGTTCGAATTAAAGGAAGGAAAGATCCAAGAGATAGTCGCACCAGTTCCAGAAGAGAACGTGGTGGACTGTTGCTCTTCATCAACAATGGACGAGAGCATCTTGGAGACCGACAAAAAGAAACGGTTTGCTGCTCAAGGCTGGGATGCCTTGAAGGACAGCCCGTTCTATGATGCTCTGTGGAAACACCGTGATGTGTTTCCAGCAGAAGTGCCGAGCCGCCTACCGGTCGATAGGGGCATCAGTCACGATATTGGCCTGAAACATGGCACCAAGTATTGTGTGAACAGGCAATGGCCGTTGCCGAAGGAACAAGTCGATTACATCGATGAGTTCTTCGACAAACGAGCCAAGGCGGGACATGTACGTGAGAGCAAGTCGCCTCACTGCAGCCCGACCTTCTGTGTGCGTAAAGCAACAGGTGGATGGCGCGTGGTTCATGCTTATAATAAGCTGAACAACGGCCACCGTTCCGGCTCAAACGCCGATCCCGCGGAAAGATGTTTTGTTGAACTCCATGGGAAAGTCAACTATCTTTTCCACGTTGGATCTGAAGGATGGCTACTATCAGGTTCTCATGCGAGATACCGATGTAGCCAAAACGGCAGTAAGCACCCCAAGCGGTATGCTGTGGGAGTGG